CTCACTCACTCACTCTCACACTCACTCACTCACTCACTCACTCACTCTCTCACTCAGTCACTCAACTTTATTTCTATAGCACATTTTAAAAACAACAATTTTAGCCAAAGTGCTGTACAATAAGACAAAAAGGCAAATTAATTAAGACAATAAAAACATACAAAGAATACACAAAGAAACATGAAAACATACACATACCAGTTTCACGGCAGGCTCGCCGTCCTGATCCCATCTGGCCTCGTTCCCAGCAGTGACGTCCTACTAGAACGAGGCTGCAGCTGGACTTGGTAGACTGAGAGCACAGGTTTCCACATCCGCGCCCATCACCAGAGTGGAGGGGTTTTACTAAGCAGAAATTCCCTCGGTGCCCCCCCGGAGCCAAGCTTGGCGGAGGCTCTTGGAGCAAAGATGTCCAGGTTGGACCAGCGTCCTGCGCTTCCGGGGAGGCATGACCAGACGGTGACGTCGTTCTCCAACCGAGCTCACCAGTGGACATGAAGTGGCCTCTACACCTTTCTCTGTACACCAGCGCTGAAAAGCTGTCCACTTTCTGGTCTCACCAGACAGACTTGCCTGAGGAGACAATAGCTCCCTCTGCAGGGCGTCTGACGTCACCTTCAACTCGTGTGCCTCGTCTTCTGTCCCCACACACTGTCGGAGAAGCGGATGTGCTGTTTGGAGCCAATTTTCAAGGACATGCTCGAGAAATCGAAAAAGCCAGAGGAGGTGTTGGAGACTGTGCGCCATCTGACCAAGCCACACGCTTCATCCCGCCCCCCAGCCCGCTGGAAGGATCGTCGTGGCCCAAGGCAGCAAACAGAGATGTTCCACAGCTGCAGCAGCGTCCTCCCGCTCCGCTCTGACGCCAGCCCCGCCCGTCAGAGAACAGCCCTTCTCATCCCGGCAACCAGCGGTTCAGCGTTTCCCAGAGATCGCCAACAGGCGGCGCCCTGGGACAACAAACCGCAGGTCTCATGGGGGAGAAGATTCAGGAATGACTCCTTGTGGGGGGATGTGTGTGTGCAAATGATGACAGGAGTTTTGAAATAAAACAAGAACATCATTCAAAGATTAAAGTGTCTGATTCAGCCTGTCTGTCAGTTCGAATGACCTCACAGCGGCTTCTCCTTACACATCCTCCACAACAAACGAGCCGGTGTCCTTAAAACAGGTTTTTAAACAGGTTCTTTAAACAGCCCTGCTGCTGGCTTTAACATCCTCTAAGAGGGTGAGTGATTTATCTGCCCTCTCTGTCGCTCCGTCATGCCTCAGAATTCAGGCTGACAGCAGCTCGCTGATCTGAGACCTAACCCAGCGTTTATGCCATAAAACATCACAAGCTCTTTTAAATCAAGAGTGATATCATTGGAGGGTTTTTTCCCTCCCCCCCCACAAATCAGAAGAAGAAGCATCTTTCCATCTCCTCTGTCCTGTGCATGCGTTGACGTGCTACATAGCACGCACTGCCGCAATGCGTCAGACAACATTTGTTTGTGCATTATAGAGATGCGTCTGCAGGTCGCCCTTTATCCACCCAGCGCCTGTCACACTGGCTGTGTGAGGCCATTTCTGAAGCCTATAGAACATCAGATTTAGAGCCTCCTGACAACCTCAGGGCGCACTCGACCAGGGGTATCGCATCTTCGACTGCTTTGCTTAATGGTATGACAATGTAAGATATTTGCATTGCGGCCGCGTGGTCAACACCCTGTTCATTTATTCGCTTTTATTTACGTGATGTGTCGGCTCGTTCCATGACGCATTCTGTCCTTAGTGCCTTAACAGAATGAATATTGTTGTTTCATGGAATCTCGTTTAAACTCACATCTGACTGCATGCATTTACAGTGTGTGATGTTGTTATCAGTCACAGGTTGTGACTGTTGTTCTTGTTCTATTGTCACTAATCAGTTCATGACTATTGTTACCAATCAGTTCATTTGATTAATAATCAGTTCACTTGTTATTATTAATCTGTTCATGTTGAAGAACCGTGGATCTGCTTGGTTCACGGCCTTTTTCAGCCTCTTCTTTTTCCCCGTTGAAAACTTTTTCGGGGCGTTCATGCTCTCGGAACACATAACTACGCAGCACGCGTCTGTGCTTGGTACGCGTAATTACGCAACGTGCAATTATGCACATGGAGAGCTGAGTGACAAGACATTTTTGGGCAAGCAGGCGCTTCATATGGTGTTCGAATAGACCCAGTGAGGCGAGGACCACATCATGCTTCGCCGTTTAACCCACTAGCGAGGGCCTTAAAGGGCGAAGCCTATACAAAATAGAATGTTTGTTACGTACTTTAACCCCAGATTCTATTGAGTATAGGCGTAGCCCTTTAAGCGCCGGGCCTCAATGGCTCCTAAATGGCTGAAGAAAAAGCTATTTGGGAGCCGATTACCCGCTCTTAACGTAATTTTATACGGACCGGGTGGGGCCCACACAACAGGTGGGCATGGACTAAACTTTTCAGTGCGCTGCTTTGCACAACGGGATAAAACCCACTAGCGAGGGCCTTAAAGGGCTACGCCTATACTCATAGAATCTGGGGTTATAGTACGTAACCAACTATATCAGCCAAGGTGCACCAAAACCACTATGATCAATCATTATCCACCCCTTGAACAAGTATCCATGATAAGTGGCCAATTGCCTCCATAGCGCCACCTACATTATTCTTACAGTTATAACTCAGTAATACATCATCCGATCTGGACCAGATTTATTGTGCAATCAGTGAGCACTTCTAGACACATTGATATTGTGGTTTAACAAATGACTCTAGTGCACCCCCTACATTATTCCATCAGTTATATCTCAGTGATACATAATCCGATCAGAACCAGATTTTTTTGTGCATAATCGGTGAGCACGTCAACACACATTGATATTGTGGTTTAACATATGACTCAAGTGCACCCCCTAGATTATTTAATCAGTTATATCTCAGTGATAAATCATCCAATACGTACCAAATTTATTATGGATGATCACTTTTCACTTCTAGACACAATGATATTGTTCTTTAACATTGGACTCCATTGCGCCCCCTACATTGTTCCAACAATTATATCTCAGGTATATATCGTCCAATCTGTACCAGATTTATTGTGCGTGATCAGTGAACCATTCTACATACTCTGGTATTGTTGTTTAACGTTTCACTCCAGTGCGCCCCCTAGATTATTCCAACAGTTATATTTCAGTGAAATATCATCCAATATGTACCAGCTTTATTGTACGTAATCAGTGAGCATTTCTAGACACATTGGTATTGTTCTTTAACATTTGACTCAAATGCGCCCCTTACATTATTCCATCAGTTATATCTCAGTGACACATCATCCGATCGGAACCAGATTTTGTGTGCATAATCGGTGAGCACGTGTAAACACATTGATTTTGTGGTTTAACATATGACTCAAGTGCGCCCCCCTTTCATACTGATATGGGTGGAAGGCGATTGCCAAGTTTAGGCAAATTCGCACCCTGGTGGACTTGTGCGGGAAGGCATGAGAGCATTTGCTACGGCGACTGGGAAGCGGTGCTGGAGCGCCTGCGGTCGCGCATGAGGTTGAAGGTTCAGTGAATGCGCACCCCGGTGAACGGGCACGGGACATGAGCGAGAATGTTCACAACGGCAAATGGGCGGAGTCGCTGGAGCTCCCGCGGTCGCCTTTAGGCCAGAGCGGCGCTTTGCTGCGAGGGCCTTCAATGCTGCTTGCATCTTTAATTTGTCATTTATTTTTATTTATTTATTTTTAATATTTTATTTATGTATTTATTTATTTATTTATTCTCTTTTTATATTTGTGGATAATATGTGTTATGTTCATCTGGTTATCTAAAATGGCATTATTTTATTATGGTATCTTTTTTTTACTTTGCTTAAGTGTTGTTTGATTTTACCTCAGTTTATCCTGATGCATGCTCAATAATCCAGGTAGAAAAATCCAAAAAAGTTCAATCTGGTCCTCTGGACATTCAAAAAAAAAATAAAAAAATAAAAACAAAGCAAAAAAATCTAGAAACGTTTCTAGATTTTTTTTTTTTTTTTTTTTTTTTTGAATGTCCAGAGGACCAGATTGAACTTTTTTGGATTACCTCAGTTTAGTTTTGTGTGGGTGTATCTGCTGTCTGGGGACTTGTTTATGGGTTAAAATCTGTTAAAATTTTATTGCCATACATGGTTTTGTACCCTATCTATCAATATATGGTATAGCTACTAGTCAATAAGAAGACATTTGAAATAAACTTTTTATTTGTACCATCCCAATCACCTGAGTAATATTAAAGTAGACAATTGCTGAAAAACCACGACAGAGCGAGTCTGGGAAAGTCGCACAGAGAAGTATCGAGGGACTGCTTACTATATATGGAAACGCACAGTTGTTTTGAGAAATGCATGCCAATGCACCATGCATCATATGACATGGACAGAAACTGCCCAAACACGTTTGATTGACATCTTTACGATTTTGGTAAAATACGAGCGAATACCCAGTCCTCTTTGGAGTTCTATATATCAGGCCCAAAATGAAAGCATTTTTTCAATTTAGATTATAACAGAAGTTTTAATAGGGGGTAAATAAACAGACTGCACTTATATAGTGCTTTTCTATCTTTTCAAGACACTCAAAGCTCTTTACACTGCAATCTGTGCCTCATTTATCCATTCATACTGCAATATCTATACAAATAATAATCAGAGCTTTATCAAATCCATACAATTATGGGACACACATCAGAGGCAACGAGGGGTTCAGTGTCTTGCCCAGGGACAGTTCAGCATATGACTCTGGTGGACTCATACCCCCAACTCTCGCATTGGAGGACGACTAACCACTCAACCACAGCCGAGAGTATTGCAAAAGTCCCAAACTGTTACTGGGCATTATAGGAATAAATGTTGTTGGTTGTTACTCTTTCAAGCAGTACCTGCATAAATGTTTTGGTTGTCTTTGTTTTTTGCTGCTCAAACCAAAATGCCTCCTTTTACAGCTCAGTTTGCAGGAGAGGACCCTGTGGTTGCTCTGGAAGCTGCCCTACAGTTTGAAGACACAAGGGAATCTATGCAGGCTTTCTGTGTTGGACAATATATGGAGGTACTTACTATCCCATCATACACTTTACAATTCACACTTATCTTTTCTAGATTGTTTCTCTTTTTGAAATTGTGACATTTTTTTTCAAGCCCAACCAGGAGACAGTCACTACTCCAGATCTTGGCAGTTTGTCTTCTCCTCTTATTGACACTGAGCGGAACTTGGGTCTGCTGCTGGGTCTTCATGCCTCCTACCTTGCCAAGAGCACTCCACTGTCAACTATGGAAACTGAATGTGCCAGTACGTTGAAACACTTAAAAATAACACAGCTAAAATATTATGCATGCCACTTTTTAATTCAGTTTAAATCAGTTTATTGCACCATCACACCAGAAGTCGTCTCAGGGCACTGAACAGAAACATTCATATATAAAATAATAATTTAACATTATCTGAGGAGCAGCTTTGAGTTTAACTCCATCACTGAACTCTCATCTTGAACAAGCATGAAGGCGACAGTGGAAAGAAAAACTCCCTCATGAGGAAGAAACCTTTAGCAGAACCAGGCTCAGGACAAGCGGCCATCTGCTTCGACCGGCTGGGTTTGGTAGGAATAGATACACAATGGCAGGTCAAGAATCACGTTAAGGTAGAAATAGTATCAAATTCAATTCAATTCAAAAATACTTTATTAATCCCAAAAGGAAATTATTTGTTGTTATAATTCGTTATCCTCATTTCATAAAGAGATGTTATAGATACTGATGGCTGTAGGCAGGAAGGATCTCTTGTAAAGGTCCATCCCACAGTGGATCCTAAGAAACTGGCTGCAGATGCCGTTCGATCCGTCCACCCAGACTTGGCTGGCCTCTCGGTTCCCAGGGCTGTAGGACCGCCTGAATGCCGGGCAGAACTCCTCCCAGAGCGATGGCCACTCCTCCCAGCTCCTCGTCGCTGCGGACATCCAACTGTAGGTGCCGAGGGACGATCCTGTCCTTCTGCTGTCATGAGCCGGGTTTCCTGCTAGTTCCAGGATCTCAGTGGTCAGGCACTCGAGCACAGCTGGCAGGTAGATGAGAATGCATCCACAGAACGTCCTTTTCAACTCATTTGAGATATTTGAGCTTTTGAGATGTTAATCAACTGCTGTTGGTTGTAGAAAACTGCCTTGTTGCCATGGTTACGCATCATAACAAATGTCCAAAACTAAAAAAAGTTTCAGTAAAAATCCTTCCAGCTGCTCATCATCTGATACCAGAGGAAACAATCATCCAAAAAATGTGATTTATATCCAGAAAAAGAGGAATTAAAAATTTCCAAAAACAAAATCTCAGAATGAAAGTAACAGAGCTGCTTCAACATGAAGCCACCTTGAGCGGCGCAATTCTGGAAATGAAAACTATTCAATTTTAGCCTGATGCATGCTCAATAATTCAGGTAGAAAAATCTAAACAAGTTAAATCTGGTCCTCTGTACATTAAAAAAAAAAAAAAACAATACATCACATACAGAACACCATGGACTTTGTGGATAAGGTGAGGGATGTCATCATGGAGACTGATGAAACAATGGTCTCTTTTGATGTCACATCACTCTTTACGTGCATTCCTGTTGATGATGCAGTAGAGGTGGTCTGTTTAAGATTAAAATCAGACACCACTCTGAGCAGCAGGACCACGCTTTCCACAGAACAACTGTGTCAACTCTTGAAACTGTGCCTGCAGTCAACCTACTTCACATATGGGGAGCAATATTATAGGCAGAAACATGGGTGTGCTATGGGGTCTCCAGTTTCTCCTATTGTTGCTAACCTGTACATGGAGGAGGTAAAAAAGAGAGCCTTGACGTCCTTTTCAGGGACACCACCAAGTCATTGGTTCAGGTATGTTGACGACACCTGGGTTAAAATTAAATCTCAGGAAGTCCAACATTTTACTGACCACATCAACTCTGTGGATAAATACATCAAGTTCACACGAGAAGATGTAAAAAATGGCAGGTTGGCTTTCTTGGACTGTGAGGTCTCAGTCTCTGATAGAGGACATTTGCAAACTGAGGTGTACCGCAAACCCACCCACACAGACCAGTATTTGGAGTTTGACTCCCATCACCCTTTGGAGCACAAGTTAGGAGTCATCAGGACTCTGTACCACAGAGCAGACAGCGTCCCCACTAGCTCAGGAGCCAGGCACAAGGAGAAATCCCACACAAGACAGGCTCTAGAGCAATGTGGATATCCTAACTGGGCCTTCCTGAAAGAAGAAACCCAAACAGGACTCCAGTCAGCATCAGGTGAAAAGGAAGAACCCAGACCCAGACCAGTGGTCATTCCATATGTTGAGGGAGTATCAGAGAAACTGAGACGTTTATTTTCTAAACACAACGTCCCAGTGGCTTTTAAACCCCAAAATACATTAAAGACTGGTTCATCCCAAAGATCTTGTCCCCCGACACAAGCAGAGTAATGTTGTGTATGTTGTTCAGTGTCAGGAGGGTGATCAGTCTTACATCGGGGAAACTAAACAGCCACTGGCCAAAAGGATGGACCAGCACAGAAGATCAACATCATCAGGCCAGGACTCTGAGGTCTACACTCATCTCCAGGCCAGCGGTCACTCTTTCAGGGATGAAGATGTTCACATCCTGGACAGAGAGGAACGATGGTTTGAGAGAGGAGTAAAGGAGGCCATCTTTGTGAAAAGAAATCGTCCATCATTAAACAGGGGTGGAGCCTCCAGGTTCAACTGTCCCCCTCTTACAATGCTGTGATTGCTAGTATCACTCAGCCCTCTGTGAACAGTAAACAGCCATCAGTGTGCTAATGATCCATTGTTAGGCTGATGGTCCTTCTTGAGCATGTGATCAGCTGGTTTTGGTTGTCAGCAGCAAAACTGGTTGATCCACTCTGAGAAGGTGCTATTTAAGAGACTGAGCTGAAAACAGCACCTCAGACTGAGGAAGTCTCTCGGATGAGAGACGAAACGTTTCTACATTTTTTTTGCTTTTTTTTTTTTTTGAATGTCCAGAGGACCAGATTGAACTTTTTTGGATTTTTCTACCTGGATTATTGAGCATGCATCAGGATATTTTGAACCACTTTGG